AACCCCCCCCCCCCCCGCGCAGGGTTCCGTTTCACATACATCAGCAGTTAGAGGAACAACTAAAGCGAGACGAGGAACTATGAGTTATCGAGCGCATCGAAGGCCCCCACACCAAGGGTATCGCCTATCGTAGTGGCACCCAAACCAAAGTCTCCTGGAAAGGTTCGCATATGTGTCCAGCAAATCAGGCCATCAAACGGGAACGCCATGTAACACCTACAATCAAAGAGATCATTGGTGACTTGAACGGTGCCAAAGTTTTCAACAAATTAGATTTAAACCAAGGATATAACCAACTCGAGTTAGCGCCAGAGTCATGGTATATCACCACTTTTGACACACATCTGGGACTAATGCGATATAAGAGATTGAACTTTGGCATTTCGAGCGCAGCCGAAATTTTTCAAAATGTAATTTGTGAAACTCTCAAAGGTATCCCCGGAGCTCTCAACATTAGCGACGACATTCTGGCGTTTGGAAAGATGCAGAGCGCCCACGATCAAAGTCTCGAAGCGGTCTTCCAGAGGCTCAAAGAATGCAGTCTAACATTGAACAAGCACAAGTGCGAGGATGGCAAAGACAAGCTGGAGTTCTATGGTTATGTCTTCTCAGGAGATGGTATTGCACCAGACCCTAAGAAAATTGACGACATCGTCAACCTACAGACACCAACATCTGCATCCGAAGCCTATTGGGAATGACCAATTATTGTTCCAGATTTATCCCGGACTATGCAACCAAGACCGAACCATTACGCAAGATGACCTACAAGGATCAACCTTGGGAGTGGACATTGCAGCATGCGCGCGCGATTGACCAACTGAAAGAAGCCTTGGTAAATGCACCGGTACAACGTACTTTGATGCAAACAAGGATACTGAAATCTCGGTCGACGCCAGTCCTGTTGGATTAGCTGCCATTCTCTCGCAAGTGGACAGAAAGACCGGTACCCACCACATCGTCACCTATGCCAGTCGTTCCTTGTCTGAGACAGTGACAATCTATACCGATCACAAGCCTCTAGTGTCCATCTATGGCAACCCAAGTTCTAAACCTCCTGCAAGAGTAGAGAGATGGGCTCTCCGACTTCAGCCTTACCAACTGACAGTCTGTTACCGAAAAGGAGAAGGAAACCCCGCAGATTACTTGTCACGCCACCCCTCCAAACAACCAACCACAGCTAGCTGAGAACAAAAGATCACAGAAGAGTATGTTAATTACATCACCGTGACCTCAACCCCAAAAGCACTAACGGTCCAGGAAATTGAAGAAGCTACCAAAGCTGATGCGACCTTGCAAGCAGTATCCAAGGCAACCGAGACAGGTAATTGGCAAGAAGGACCTAAGCAATCGGATGTGGACAGCGTAGCTTATACCGCGTGGCAGAAGGTAAAAGAGGAGTTGTCAGTAGGTGTGACAGCCCAGATAATTCTTCGAGGAACAAGAATAGCTGTTCCCAGAAAACTACAAGAGCGCGTAGTAAACTTAGTACATGAGGGACACCAAGGAGTTGTGAAGACAAAGTCACTTCTGCGTGAAAAGGTATGGTTCCCTGGCATCGACAAGTTGGTAGAAAAGAAAGTCGAGTCATGTTGTGTGTGTTTGATCTCAACTCCAGAGTCTAAACGTGAACCTCTCAAAATGTCTCCACTACCGAAAGCCCCATGGTCGGAAGTTAGCATGGATTTTGCGAAGCTTCCAAACAGCGAGTATCTCCTGATATAATTACAGATGACTATTCAAGATATCCGGTCGTCGAAACGGTCAAGTCTACTTCTGCCAACACGGTGATTCCGAGGGTAGACAAAGTGTTCTCTGAATTTGGAATACCTGAGCACAGACTGCGCAGACTCTCGGTTTCAAGCATCGAAAGATCACTCCTCGATGGCCAAGAGCAAATGGCAAGGTCGAGCGATTCGTGAGAATGATAAAGAAGGTGGTCAAGACGGCGACAGTACAGCACAAGAACTGGAAACAAGAGATGCATCGTTTCCTCAGAAACGTCAGAGCAACTCGTCACACAAGGACAAAAGTTCCCCCAGCAACCGCATTGTTTGGTCGGGCACTAAAAACAAAGTTACCTGAGTTGAAAAAGACTTTGCAAGACCCAGCAGTTGAGGGAAATGATTGCCAGGCGAAGTCAAGGATAAAGAGATATGCTGATTCCAAAACCTATGTTCAACCCTCAACAATCCAGGAAGGCGATACAGTGTTTGTCAAGCGTGATGATTCAAAGAGAAAGAGAGATACACCCTACTGACCTGATTCATATGTCATTGTACAGAAGAAAGGATCCATGGTGACAGCAAGAAATAACAACGCAATGATCACCAGAAATTCTTCTTGTTTTAAGAAAGCGCCCAGCGACAATGGCGATGATGAAGAAGCGAGTGACGGAGAAGACGCCGGTCAACAAGAGTATGAACCTGATGCAGCGGCAGTCGAAGCCCCTGAACCTCGCTATCCCAGAAGAGTGAGAAAGCGTCCTACCAGATATGGAGAACAATTACATTGATGATGCAGAGAATGCTAATTTAGGTTCTTATATAAGACTTTATTTAGTTTTGTTGACATTATTCTTACATATGTTTTCCCACTTAAGTGACTCTAAGGTCGGACACGAAGTAACGTTAGTTTATGGAACTGCATAATTTTGGTTCTGAACGTTTAATGTTTATAGGTCTTTTCTTTTAAAGTTGGGAGGGATGTAGTGTTTATATAATAGTTTAATCATGTGTGCAAGATAATAGAACCTGGATGACCACGAGGGATGGGACCTGGTTCAGTTTGTAAGCAACGACTTAAGTAAGCAATAAAAAGCTAAAGACAAAACACCACAGATTGTTTGTCTGGTTGGACAGTAGTTGACTGTGATACTCCAGGCTGTGTTTGGTGACTTTGGTTATGCCTGCTTGGATTCTCTACTTGATTTGCTAAACAAATTTTGAAATAAAAATAGTAAGTATAAAATACATGCCTTGCTGACAAAACCATTGTATCAGGGGACAACTTCAATTTGCCTGATTTTGTTATAAACATATGAATGAAAATGACATAGTGTGGTACTGCACAGATTTCCTTAACACCCCAGGCATGGCATGAAGCCAAGAACAATAACCCCAATAATTGTCAACCCTACGTGCTTTCAATTTGCTATTTACAGCGGTCTTTCGCAGGCTATATAAGGTTACACCCATAGCATATAATTATCATTTCAATCGAAGAGCTGAAGGAAAGCACATCCCAGCAATCTACAATGGCCACTTGTCAGAATTTGACTCACTCTGCACCTTCGGTTCAAGTTCCGCAAGCACCTCAAGATATCTCTTCTATCGTGCAAGCACCTACGGACACTCCGAGTCAACCAGAAAGTGCAGCTATAGATAACACTGACATGCCACCGCTGGAGGTTTGTGTTCTTTTGCTTAATTTTAGTTCCCTTGTGATTATGACTTACTATGCCTACGGGTTCATATTCAGGTGGCAAATCCCTTCCACTTCGGCTGTGTATATGTTTTCCTCTTCCGACTTTCCGTCCGCATGACTATACATTAACCATATCAACTTTTCGTCTAGCTGCCCTTGTTAATTTCCCCCTATATTTTATACCATGCCTAAAATAAGCAGACTCTTTCGTACAAAAAAATAAAAGAACGCGTGCTACCGTAACATTGCTTTATCAGGAATCTGCAGACTTTATATAAATCATATTTGAGAACATGATTCATGACGAAATGGTCAAGTATATAATTAATTATGCATTGATCTATAAACGATATACATGCAGTGCCGTTCTACTGTGCTGTCGTAACATGCATTGATCTGTGAACGATATAGTGCCGTTCTACCGTGCTGTCGTAACATTTATGCATTGATATATGAACGATATAGTGCTGTTCTACTGTGCTATCGTAACATTTATGCATTGATCTATGAACGATATAATCATATAGTGCCGTTCTGCCGTGCTATCGTAACATTTATGCATTGCCATTGATATATGAACGATATAGTTCCGTTCTACTGTGCTATCGTAACATTTATGCATTGATCTATGAACGATATAGTGCCGTTCTGCCGTGCTGTCGTAACATTTATGCATTGATCTATGAACGATATAATCATATAGTGCCGTTCTGCCGTGCTATCGTAACATTTTTGCATTGCCATTGATATATGAACGATATAGTTCCGTTCTACTGTGCTATCGTAACATTTATGCATTGATCTGTGAACGATATAGTGCCGTTCTGCCGTGCTATCGTAACATTTATGGATTGATCTATGAACGGCATATAGTGCCGTTCTGCCGTGCTATCGTAACATTTATGGATTGATCTATGAACGGCATATAGTGCCGTTCTGCCGTGCTATCGTAACATTTATGCATTGCCATTGATATATGAACGATATAGTGCCGTTCTACTGTGCTATCGTAACATTTATGCATTGATCTATGAACGATATAGTGCCGTTCTGCCGTGCTGTCGTAACATTTATGCATTGATCTATGAACGATATAATCATATAGTGCCGTTCTGCCGTGCTATCGTAACATTTATGCATTGCCATTGATATATGAACGATATAGTGCCGTTCTACTGTGCTATCGTAACATTTATGCATTGATCTGTGAACGATATAGTGCCGTTCTGCCGTGCTATCGTAACATTTATGGATTGATCTATGAACGGCATATAGTGCCGTTCTGCCGTGCTATCATAACATTTATGGATTGATCTATGAACGGCATATAGTGCCGTTCTGCCGTGCTATCGTAACATTTATGCATTGCCATTGATCTATGAACGATATAGTGCCGTTCTACTGTGCTATCGTAACATTTATTTCATTGATCTATGAACGATATAGTGCAGTTCTGCCGTGCTATCGTAATATTTATGCATTGGTCTATAAGTGACATATTGCTACTATTTCAGCTATATATGCATGACTACAATACAGGCAACAGACTAATATAAGCAATACGCCAATAGGCTTTCATCACAATAACAGGAATAGATATCACTTCTTCTTTCAAACGAAAATTGCAAAAATATTTGATTGAAAACATTTAGTGCATGTACATGTCATATATAGGAGCTTCAATTATACATGCAACAAATAATTTTAAAAATTTTGCCTTAATTTTTTCCTGAATAACAATGTCAATGACATGGCCTCTTAATACAATTAGTCTTTGACTTCCTGAGGTCTTCTCGCCTCTCCCTTGCCTTTCAATTTGACATACATAAATATAAATATACCTAAATTTTATTATAATAATCAATGTAAATTAACTGAATGAAGTCAGTGGTAAATAAATTGAATTTAAGAATATACAGTTCTCTCATCATATAACCTATATTGGCTATAATCTATATCTTTACTATACAATATAGGCATTGTTGAAGTGCTACATGCTGTGCTTTTCAATAGACTT